GTAGGATCGGCCACATTAGCTAACCGATGCAAGTCATCTTCGGGATAAATTGAGTCCACAAATTTATCTACCTCATAGCCTGTATTTGGGAGGAGACAATCTGGTACCGGAATCAACCCCTCCATCGCTTCATCCGTACAAAGCTGGGAAAGCCATTGGGCGAGGGAGACATTGGCAGGATTTATTGAGCGAAGGCGCATATTTTCAACCAATGAGAGAATTTGGATTGAAGAATCCCAGACATAGGCAAACTGTAGAGTGGATTGAACAATCGAGGCGCGGGTATTACTACCCTGAGGACCAATTGGTAGCGTTTGTTGGAAGTCACCGCCAAAGACTGTCGGAATACCACCAAAGGGTAGCTGGCTTGCCCCAGGGTAGTCAGTTTCGCGAATATCACGAAGCATCCTATCCACCGCATCAAAAACATCCCGATGTGTCATAGGAGTTTCATCCCAGATGATCAATCGTGTCAGAGAAATCAACTTTGCCGCCGCAGTATGTTTTGCAATGGAACAGGTACTGGCCTCATCACATGGCACTGGGACACGGAAGCGTTTATGTGCGGTACGACCACCTTCAAGGAGTAGTGATGCAACGCCGGTAGACGCCACACATAGTACCGCAGCACCAGGGGAGCGCCATCGGAAATACGAAGCTAGCGCGTGGTAAATAAAAGTTTTCCCTGTCCCACCAGGACCATGTAGGAAGAAACGGGCATTGTTTGGGTCTCCCTCGACCTGCCGGACAATACTATCAAAGGCAGCCTTCTGACCTTCTGTCATAAGGTGATATCGTTGTTCAAAATCACTGCGTTGCTTATCCAGATCGTAGGATAATTCCTCCTGAACCTCCTCATATTGAACAGTAAGGATAGAGGCCCAATCATTGATAGGGTAAGGGAGATCATATTCCTCTAACGTCTTATCAGAGAATGCGAGATCCTGCTGGATATACCAAAGAGCCAAGTCCTCATTTGATTTATCGTTAGGTGGGTCGAACTGGTTGGTTAACCGGCGAATGCGAGGAGGAAGATCATCGCCGAAATGCTCCTTGAACTTATCCCAGATTTGACTTGCTAAAGAACTATCCAAAGGAGCATTTAGGATAGCGGATATAAACATCATACGGAGAACTCTGCCAGTCTAAAAAAAGGTTAGTCTTAGATAGCTCAAGGGAGGGAGGTGGATTAAATATTTTGTATACCTGAAAGTGAATGGCATCTTCGAAACATTTAATCCACTCATCATTTTGTCGAAGGAGACCACGGGCCTCACATGATTCCTTGAAAGTAGGATATATAACCCCATTATATGTACGAAGGTCTTCGTAACCTGACGGTCCTGGCACAGACATCAAGAGATAGCGTAGGAAATAGACATCTCCTAGGTTAGGACGTAGTGGATGAACACGGCCAATTTGCATCTCACTGGAGGGTTGTCGAGGGTGCCATTTCTTCTGGCGGTAGACAAAATGACGTGGGAATTCTTGGTAGATATATCGTGGAGAATCGGGATTCTCTATATACCAACGGAAGAACTCGGTCAATGGGGTCTTCGAACTATTCAAGAGCTGTTCAAGCTCATTGTCACCTAAGGTTTCATCAAAGATAACAGATTGCCGGTCCTCAAGGTGGACAACCAAAGGTAAGACAGAAGGTTTAATACACTCAATATCAAATTCCAGTAAACGCCAGACAGCCTCAGATGATCCAATGTATCGGCCGGAGATCAAGTCCTTTGCCTCATTTAGCGTCAATTCCGCAGTAGCCCGATCAGGGCCCTTGTGTAAATACTTATGCAAGTACTTCACAGCGAACATCCCAGCACAGACCTCAACATTGATATGTGCGCGGTATTTGCGGAGAAGGAATGGATTAAAAGGAACCACCCATTCGTTACCAATCTGGATATCTTGATCACGATATAATGGGTGCTTCACTGTGTGACTGAACCCTTGACGGCGTTGGTAAATGGGGTATGCGTTATCTGGTGGAATTGTCTCATTGGTAAAAGGCTTCGGAAAGCCTTTTGAGCATACCTTCCGCCCATTCTTTTCGACCATACAGACGGCATTGGGGTGAAGGTCTCCGCAGGGGCCGTGCATCATGTAAGACGTTACCAAATCGAAAAGCATAGGATCTTCATCAGGGTCCGGGAGTTCTGCACAGACAAAGTCATCAATAACACGTGGGTTATGATGGTCGAAATTTGAGATCCAAAAAAGGATATGAGAGTGAGGCAGGCCTCGCTTCTGATACTCGATAACAAACACATATGCCTGGCAATGACTGAATATCTTGTGCTTAAGAAAGTCATCCATCAACTGCTTACGCTTCATTTCAAAAACCCGGGCAATCAGGTCTGCGCGGTCCCAGTGTCGTTGTGATGGGACACCATTTGTATCTTTGTATAGATTGCGTTGGACCTCT